ATGGACGCGGGGTTTTTTGGCAACGACCGCAAACGTATCCGTGTCCATTGGTTGGCCACGTAGAGGTCAAAATACGCGTTCTATTTTTACGCGTTAAGTTTGGCTCTTCTGTTTCACCCCCTCCGGAATGTTCTACTTTCGTAGCCAAATCGCAGGTTTTTCAAAAAACGTCGAAAAAACACAAGAATTAGTAGAAATGTTTCTGTTTTGGGCAGATTATTGATAGAGAATAATGTCTTTATTACAAAAATGCTTGAGTTTTTGCTTAGTTATTTTTTTATTGGCGAATAACTGCGAACTCGGCAAATTTGGTTGCACAACTTCCCTTTATCATATCAACTGGAGCTAGCACTTTTGAGACAGCACATCGTAAACTTGCTACTTTCTTTCCACCCTTCATCACATCTATGGCATTACGGTCATGTGGATTATTTTTCTGTCGTTGAAGAAAAAACATTTTGCCGACCTCAAGTCCATTACGATAACCATAATGAGGCATGCCGACGATGGGAAATTGTTGCATCATAATTTTGTCGTGTGTGTGGGTGCGTGAATAAATCATGTTAATGAGGTCGACCAGAGTTTATTTTCAGTCTGTTTTTTATGTATCGCCATTTGGATATGTTTATGTATTCACAATAGTTTGTAAACATTTCACATCAGTAATAAAAGGTTTATTTGTTTCATAACCCTGTCTGCTATTCTTCAGTAATTACGATGCGATGTATCAATACGTGCGCGAACAAAATTATGCTAATGAGGTCATCGCCATCTTGGATTACAAGCGGTAGTTTTTCCCGGCCGTTTCGACTTGCACTGATCACGGTTACTAAAAAAGTAACCATGCATTGATTACAATACTTACCATACTTTGTAGCCAATTTCAGTGAGTAATACAATTTCATTCGCTGACATAAAACAAGTTTTATTCTTGAAATTCGACCCAGTGTTCCCACAATGCTTGACCGAGTGCTCACGTTTATTGAAACCTCGCATAAATCAAGAAATAAGTACGTGTACAAAGTGTACGAAAGCATTCCTTTATTTTTTATTTTTTTTATAAATATTTTTTATTACCCATAAACAAAAAAATTACAGGACTTTAATAAATACAGTAAATGCAGTAATAAACAAAAGAAAACAAAACAAAACCAACAAATAATGAAGACAGATTACCATGTAACTCCAATTGTATTAAAAAATTGTGGATTGTAAATTGGAAGATGCACAAACCAACATTAGGTAAAGTTTCCCCACTTCACCTGAAACAATTCGATAGTGCTATTTTTACTACATATACAATATTCTATTTCTTTTGTTTCCATAACTTTTTTTTCTTCCAGACGAAATGAAGGTGAAGTGCCATTTAATTTACAGGAATAAATAATTTGTTTAGTTATAATAATGATATGGTTCAATAAACTTGAGAACTGATCATCGCCCAGCAAAATTTGAATATCTGTGAAAGTGTCTGGGGTATTTAAAAGTTCACAGTTCACCCCATCTATTACATATTGATGTCCAAAGGACAGTAACATAGTTGCATGTAACGAATAAATATGTTAGAGTTTCATCGCTATTATGACAAAAAGAACAAAGGCTAGAGGTGACGAGAGGAGGTCTCATACGGTGAAGCATAGTATTCGAAAATGAAACATTATGATTTAGTTTCCACTGGAATTCTTGTAGTTTTGTTTCAATGGTAACTCTAAATGGTAACTTGAAAATAATTTCCCACTTAATTTCATTTAGTTGAAACAACTGCTGAAAATAAGTTTTACATTTTGGTGGAATAAAATAAAGAGATGAAAGGGCTTTCCGTATTACTTTACATGTTACCATATTCAGTGGACAAAATATGTTGTTAATGTACAAACCAATAGGCAATTCTGGTCTTAACAAAAAAGGGAGTACAGCCTCTCCATTCTGGTGGTATAGCGGAAATTATGCCGTGCCAAAGGAGATATTGTCTAGGAGTAAACCCAATTTCTTGTAGTTGTGTCCAATTTTTTATTTTTCCATTTGAAATATAAAGGTCCGAGATATAGACAATGCCCTTTAAAATGAAATCTAGATAACACACACTCAATGAGAATGTTGGCGTTATTCCAAATTATATTGTTAGCAACTGTTTGAACTGGTTGCTGGCAATGTAATTTCCACCAACTGCACAATAGACTGTGATAGAAAGGGGGTAGAGTAACAGGTAATAGCTCAATTTTATAATTACATCTAAAAATTAAGGAACCACCAAGGGGAAGCAGATAGTGTGATAAAAAAAGATCGTCATTCCTTTATTTGACCTTATCATACGATCACAAAAACAACTTTTTAAAATCTTTTTTGGGGTGGTCCTCGGGTAAGTGCCCACCCCCAATTTTTCCCGATTTCGTATGTTCAGACCCCTGGGCGCGTTGCCCGGGGTAATACGGTAACATCTGTCAATATTACTAATTTGTAAGTCATGGTTGTGATATTTCTCACCTCAAGTGTAATGTAGTTCAATGAGTGTAGTGTAATGTATTGACCCTGTATAACCTGAATATGACATACCGGTAATCACATTAGCATATCAAAAGCGTGTAATTCTATATATATGGAGATGCTCATAATAAAAAGTGTGTTCTTGCTTCAATGGCTGACCGGCGTCTGTTTACTACAGGCTAGTTTTCTATGTACGGACATACATAGCATGTAGCCATCATGGTTGTGGTATTTCTCACATCAGAGTAATGTAGTTCAATGCATGTCCATGATATATTGTGAATTATTATACATTTCAGGTTTTATTCAGATTGTCAATTGGAAACCATTGACATTAGAATGCATAACCGATGATCCCCGAGTCAGTGTAGATTATCTCTTTGCAAATCTCATGAATGTTGCAACTTTACGAATTCAGATAACAAGGTATTTATTTATTTATACATTGTACATTAATCTATATAACTGGCAATCAGATTTTGGCTATTTAGTAAATTCTTGTATGTGCTTTGACTTTCATTGCATAGAAACATGCACGATATCATACATGTGCACATGAATATAATGTTTAATCAAATAAAATATGGCCGACTGGCAGCCCTAACTTTTTAAGTCCTAATACATCAAATTGTTTGTACGTGTTTCACTTAGATGACTGGTTTATTAGTACACAATAACTTATGTTATTATATTATTATTTTCTGTCCATTTTGATTTTTTTAATGTTCATATTGAATTCTATGGCATGTTGACCAATTGATAAATGTTAAGCCAGTGTTGATAATATTCACAATGCACATTATATATTGTTGATTACAGCAACCCTAGTGTTGTTGACCAATTAAGAGTTTCTATGAGTGATGGAACACCTCCGATCCAGTCAGTAAGTCTGACCAGTCCAGTATCAGAAAGCTCTACAACTACTTCACTTTCAAAACCAGACAGTCCAATGGTTTCATCAGTTGAGCTAAGTCCAAGTATTCCACCACAAAGTCCAAGTCCTCAACAACAATTATTGATATTGGATATAAAAGAAAAATTAGATTCTTTACTGAAAAATCACAAACAAGCTGTTTTGGTTAGTCATGGATGTCCATTCTCACAGGTTAGTTCATAGGCTCCAAGTACTAAACATTTAGGCAATGATTAATATTATGACGAATTTTGTGTACAAATCTATAAGTTGATTTGTTAGACTGGATGAAATAGATACTCTTGAGGGGGTGACAGACATGCATAGATCTTGTTGGGCAAACAATGATGCATGTCATTTTTTTCAGATTAGATTCAAAATGGCGGTCTGGTGGCCATTTTGTTTTAATAAATGCTGTTCCAGAAAGATAATTCTGCCATTCTATAACCAGATCAGTGCGTGCGTGCGTGCGTGCGTGCGTTCGTGCGTGCGTGCGTGCGTGCGTGTGTGTGTGTGTGTGTGTGTGTGTGTGTCCCCATATCCATCTTACACATGCTTGGGTCAATTAAATTAAAACTCCACACATGAATCATATGGAACATATGCACATTTGTTTCATCATCTGATTCAAGATGTCTGATTGGCAGCAATTTTGAGACCAAAAATGTCTCAAAATCACACATTTCCACAATTCGAAACCCATTCTCAGCTTTTCAGACTTCTTCACATGACACATATCTGAGAAGCACACATACATTTTTGTCACCATAGAATCCAAAATGGCTGACTCGCAGTTGACATTGTTTAAATGAATGTGTTTCCATAGAGTCACATCTCATACAGGACCATTTATGTTCAAATTTATATATTGCTAGTACTTTTTATTTTTACAGGCAATGATCTCCCAGATAGTTCTCGGAAAATATGTCAACAAAATTTCATCAGAAAAATCTAGAGCCTTTTACAAATGGCATGAAATATACACTGGTCTGTCAAAGGACTCATTGATACCTCCAAGGAAAAAGTCATCACGTCTCAGACGTATGAGAACATTATTTGATCCCAAACAAGAGTTGCCTAGATTACGACGATGGTTTGCTGATAATAGCAGGCCATCCAAAGAACAGATGCTGTATTACTTCCATGAACTCAATTCACTGGAAAGGAGGAAGAAAGGAACGCCTTTGCGTTTTTCGTCAATTGTTTTATGGTTTAAGAATGCTAGAGCAAAGTATAAAAACGATTGTTCAATGTATGATGATTATAATGGACCAAACACTTGTGACAAACCACCTACAGTAAAAGATATAATGCATAGCTTACGATCTGCAAAAGATTCTCATATGAAAAGAATTCAATCTGCGCATGCCAGCACAACTGATGTAAAGCCTCCACCTGGAATGGACTCTGTATATGTATCCAGTGTGAATTCAGCTTCTCCTATTACTGGTGCAAATTCTGCAGCTATTTTTTTCAGTGCAAATTCAACACCTGGTATTTCTAGTGCAAACCCAGCATCCAGTATTTCCGGTAAAAATTCTACATCTGGTATTTCTGGTACAAATTCCACACCTGGTATATCTGGTACAAATTCTACATCTTGTATTTCCGGTACAAATTCTACATCTGGTATTTCCGGTACAAATTCCACATCTGGTATTTCCGGTACAAATTCCACACCTGGTATATCTGGTACAAATTCTATATCTTGTATTTCCGGTACAAATTCTACATCTGGTATTTCTGGTGCAAATTCTACATCCAGTATTTCCGGTACAAATTTTACATCTGGTAAAAAATCAACACCTGGTATTTCCAGTACAAATTTTACATCTGGCACACATCGTGGGAATGTTAGCACTAGTTCAATGTTTGCATCAAGTAGCACTGACATGGACACTGTGAGTAAACAATCAATTAGCAGTACAGTCCCGCGTCCAGAACCACCGCCTCTTTTGCCTTTGAGAATTGACAGAAAAATTGGAGTGTCATCTTCACCTACACCTACCCTAAGTAGTGGTCCAGTAACAGCAAAGAAATCCAGCAGTACCTTCCACCCACCAACTATGATGCAAACCTCGATGATGACCAATAACAAGTCTGAACGTATAGCAGATTCAATTATGCATTCAGCAACAGTTGCAGAAGCTTTGTTTGGTAAACGCAAAAGACATAGATTTTCCATCCATCCACTTTATGAAGTCCCAAAACTTAAGGCCTGGTTTGTTGAAAACCCACGTCCAGATTATGCTCTCAAAGAACAAATTATTCATGATTTAAATACAAGTTCATTTCGGGTTGGTCGCGAAAAATGGACAATGAAGACTGTAACAGTTTGGTTCAAAAATGCTAGAGCCAAAATGTACAGAAATGAATTTTCTCATGATGGTGTGAAAGGGTCAGAGACTAACTCACTCTCAAAAAATCAGTCGTTAGTAACATCCCCCACACTGACACCAGTACGACCAGTTCCAGATTCAGTTCCACCTGTTTCTAGTGGAAAAATTGACTCACCAAATTTGGTTGATAAAGTTTTCTTCCCAGTTTCAATTTCGACACCTTTGGCAGGTTCCTCCATTCTTGCTGCCTGTATGTCTACTGATCTGGTGCCTTCAAACAGTCTGGACACTAGCTCCACAAGCTCTACCAGTAACTTTGATGCAAAGCAAATAAAAACTGAAATGTCAAGTCCAAATACTCAGCAATCGTTTGAGATAAAAACAGAATCTGTAGAAGTAAACACAACAAATGTAAGAGTTACTACTCCATTGAAAATCAGTACACCTGAACCGGCAACTGTTCCGTCTTCAGTTGTCAGTCCTACCGGTTCAGAAAGTTCTCAGATGTCCTATCAGGAACAAGAAAAGATATTCCGAATTAACTCTAGTTTTGAACTGCCACGGCTACGTCAGTGGTTTGAGGATAACCCTAACCCAACAGCACTGACCATGAGTGAATACGTGGACACACTGAATGCTACACCATTCAGACAGTTACAGGGACAGAAGTATAATACTGAGATACTCAACTCATGGTTTGATTTGGAAAGGCAAAAAATGAATGTACCCAAACTAGTTATGGTTGAGACAAATGACCAGAATTGTCATGGGTGAGTCATACATATATACAAATATCAAAGTACATATAGTAGCCTACTGGTTGTGACAAATTATTTTATAATTTTGATAAATACTATTTTTTCATAAATAATGCTTTAACATATTTACCTTTTATACATTTTTTTCAGGCAGTATTTCTCCAAAAACTAATTTGTAATGGGGAAAATTAAGATATGCGTCTAAATCAATAATCAGTGATACTCCCTATTTATAAAATAATATAATGTTTATTCAACCTTTGTATCGGCAGCATGAAAACAGTAATACATATATTTAAATTACATTCATCATTTCTTTTCTATATTGCCATAAATCAGTTACATATTTCCTAATTAAAGCTGATGAGGTATTTCCCACATTTTCATTTATGTTCCATAGTGTATCACCAAAAAGGAAATTGAACCTATAATTCAACCCCCCTGAAAGAAATTATTTGGTTGTATACCTACATTCCAATAATTACTAAATTGTATACTAACAATCTGTTTTCTGTAGTTATTTAGTCATACAGTGTAGCCAGAAAACAAAGAAAAAACAGATTGTCTAGCTTACATGGTCCCAATAGGCAAAAACACACTATAGTGAAATTTGGCATCAAGTAATCCCATAGACAAACATTGGTACAGCATATAAACTATTGTATTCGCATATATCCTAGCCTGACAAGGTCGCGTGAATTGCACCCTCCGAAGTGCTCCAAACCTAACACACACCTGACAGAATGATGTAGTTTTTCACTTCTGTCGAAACAGGTATGTGAATGCCTGGGATTGAGTCGGCATGTGCTGAAAAAAACTATTCTATATCTATATTCATCTATATCTAAGCTTTTACGTGACACACAGTTTGTTTTAGTAACGCTTAGAGAATCTCTGAATCACAACTGTTTATTGAATGTGTCAATAATTTCATGTTCAAAAGTATTACAGATAATTTTTATTCTTGTATATTAACAATTGTCTGTTACATTACAATGTATAAACCCTCTGAAAAATTGCCTTTCACCGAGATCTTTGGCATATTTTGTGAAACTTTCTTGCCATGTACTTATATTGGAAATGTCTTTATTTGGATTTGATATTTCTTAATAAAGGAGCTTGCAAAATTTAGTATGCTCTAACGTTTGGAGATATAATTAATAATATAAAGTTTCTTTTTAATTTTATTGTTTTGTCTAAATTTAGTGATCGATGTAGCAGCCTGAGTAATAGTCTATGCAGTGATAGTAGTGGAGCTGATACTGAGGAAGAATGGACTGATGTCAAAGTAAGAAATGCAATCACAGATGTCCTTAAAGAAATCAATCAAAGTCAGCTGGGACAAATCAGTCCACTGACACAGGTGAGAAAGTTGAAGAATTAACTCATGCCACCATGTTCACAACATAATTCATTTGTTAATTACTCATACCATCTAATGTTAATGACTCACTTGTCATTTACTCACAACATGTTTGCAACAATGATCTTACAATCTAATGTTAAATTTATTCATTCAAATATTCAGCTATCAACTGCCAAACCAGTATGGCACTGCGGCCAACTGCCAAACCAGTATGGCACTGCGGCCAACTGCCAAACCAGTATGGCACTGTGGCCAACTGTCAATTCAGTATGGCACTGCGGCCAACTGCCAATTCAGTATGGCACTTTGGCCAACTGTCAATTCAGTATGGCACTGTGACCAACTACCCATCTAGTATGGCACTGTGACCAACTGCCCATCCAGTATGGCACTGCGGCCAACTGCCAAACTAGTATGGCACTGGCGGCCAACTGCCAAACCAGTATGGCACTGCGGCCAACTGCCAAACCAGTATGCCACTGTGGCCAACTGTCAATTCAGTATGGCACTGTGACCAACTGCCTGTCCAGTATGGCACTGTGGCCAACTACCCATCCAGTATGGTACTGTGACCAACTGCCCATCTAGTATGGCACTGCGACCAACTGCTCATCCAGTATGGCACTGCGAGCAAACTGCCCATCCAGTATGGCACTGTGAGCAAACTGCCCATCCAGTATGGCACTGCGAGCAAACTGCCCATCCAGTATGGCACTGCGAGCAAACTGCCCATCCAGTATGGTACTGTGAGCAAACTGCCCATCCAGTATGGCACTGTGACCAACTACCCATCCAGTATGGCACTGTGGCCAACTACCCATCCAGTATGGCACTGTGACCAACTACTCATCCTGTATGGCACTGTGACAAACTGTAAATCCAGTATGGCACTGTGATCAACTGCCCATCCAGTATGGCACTGTGGCCAACTACCCATCCAGTATGGCACTGTGACCAACTACTCATCCTGTATGGCACTGTGACAAACTGTAAATCCAGTATGGCACTGTGATCAACTGCCCGTCCAGTATGGCACTGTGACCAACTACCCATCCAGTATGGCACTGTGACTAACTGTAAATCCAGTATGGCACTGTGACCAACTGCCCATCCAGTATGGCACTGTGACCAACTGCCCGTCCAGTATGGCACTGTGGCCAACTACTCATCCAATATGGCACTGTGGCCAACTACTCATCCAGTATGGCACTGTGACCAACTACTCATCCTGTATGGCACTGTGACTAACTGTAAATCCAGTATGGCACTGTGATCAACTGCCCGTCTAGTATGGCACTGTGACCAACTACTCATCCTGTATGGCACTGTGACTAACTGTAAATCCAGTATGGCACTGTGATCAACTGCCCGTCTAGTATGGCACTGTGACCAACTACCCATCCAGTATGGCACTGTGACTAACTGTAAATCCAGTATGGCACTGTGACCAACTGCCCGTCCAGTATGGCACTGTGACCAACTGCCCGTCCAGTATGGCACTGTGGCCAACTACTCATTCAGTATGGCACTGTGGCCAACTACTCATCCAGTATGGCACTGTGACCAACTGCCCATCCAGTATGGCACTGCGGCCAACTGCCAAACCAGTATGGCACTGCGGCCAACTGCCAAACCAATATGCCACTGTGGTCAACTGTCAATTCAGTATGGCACTGCGGCCAACTGCCAAACCAGTATGGCACTGCGAGCAAACTGCCCATCCAGTATGGCACTGCAAGCAAACTGCCCATCCAGTATGGCACTGCAAGCAAACTGCCCATCCAGTATGGCACTGCGAGCAAACTGCCCGTCCAGTATGGCACTGTGACCAACTGCCCGTCCAGTATGGTACTGTGACCAACTACCCATCCAGTATGGCACTGTGACCAACTGTAAATCCAGTATGGCACTGTGACCAACTGCCCGTCCAGTATGGCACTGTGGCCAACTACTCATCCAGTATGGCACTGCGACCAACTGCCAAACCAGTATGGCACTGTGGCCAACTGCCAAACCAGTATGGCACTGTGGCCAACTGCCAAACCAGTATGGCACTGTGGTCAACTGTCAATTCAGGATGGCACTGCGGCCAACTGCCAAACCAGTATGGCACTGCGAGCAAACTGCCCATCCAGTATGGCACTGCAAGCAAACTGCCCATCCAGTATGGCACTGCGAGCAAACTGCCCATCCAGTATGACACTGCAAGCAAACTGCCCATCCAGTATGGCACTGCGAGCAAACTGCCCATCCTGTATGGCACTGCGAGCAACTACCCGTCCAGTATGGCACTGTGGCCAACTGCCCATCCAGTATGGCACTGTGACCAACTGCCCATCTAGTATGGCACTGTGGCCAACTACCCATCCAGTATGGCACTGTGGCCAAATCCTTATTGTAATGCTGGTCTTGTTCTCTTTGTAGTCCATGATTTCTTGTATTGTTAATGGTAAATATGGAGCAACTATTAGTAAAGAGAAATGTCAAGAGTTTGGTCAATGGTATGAGAATTATAAAAAGAGTAAAGTACAACTCAAAGGTGAGTAATCCAAGGGTTATTTATTTACTATTTACCTTAACCTTGTAGTATGATGTGCATTTATACTCCTGTACCATGTTATGTATGATCAAGGATTTACAAAATGCATATGTAATATGGTCACAAAATCACAAGAGAAATCAAATTAAAATTAGTGAGTCTGTAAATGAAATGATTCATGTTCATCTCAGACCATATTTAGAAGTTTCAGTGCATATTTGCAAATTGAGTAATATGTGTTTTTGATATTCTTGGTGATTTCTGTTTATCGACAATTTCCAAGCATCTAATGCAAAAACGGGAGCGCTTTCAAACCTTTGCAACAGTTGCTTTCTGTGAGATTTTCATTGTATATCACTGTACATGATTCTGAAAGTTGCATGTGCTTATCTTATAAAATCTTGATATGATATATTAAACCTTTTGATTCATTCCAACAGATCCACCAAAGGTGGAAAAAGTACCACGTTATGTGCGATACATGGCTGGTAGAAAACTTAGTTTCCATCCGGAGCATGAAGTCCCCAGAATGAAAGAATGGTTTGATATGTGCCAGCATCCCATAGATGAAACACTACAGGGATTTTGCAACATTATGAATACTCATCCATTTAGACAACAGACTGGACGACCCATTACAGTGACAAATCTAAGAGTCTGGTGGAAAAATGAACGAGCCAAGAGAAATAGAGAATCAAAGGATAAATAGATCACTATCAAATTTATTTCACATCTTGTGTTCTCAGAGTTGATACATTTGTCATCTACATCAGACTAATATATGTGCCATGTGCTTGGATCATACCTACCATGAGTGAATTATACATGCAATCAAATAATGTTCATATGCTGTATATATCCTGATGTATATATTTACTATATGAGTTGTGATTTAATGATGACCTCATTGTCAGAGTTCACATTTTTTAATGCAAAGTATGGTCTGAACTGATATGATGACATTAAATGTCCAATTACGCAGACACAGATACTGTACTTCGTCTATATTTGTAAATGTAGCATCTTAATTTTAAGCAACAAAGAATTGCACCATATCAATAATCAATTTCATTTATTTTTTATTAATCTACAATTTATTATGGAGTAGTAGCAATTTTAAATATGATATACAAACATATTTTAAAATTGTCATTACAGTTTTTCTACAGATTCAAGTGAAATTTTTAAAGTAATTCCTACCTTTGACTGACATGCATAAATGACATAATGTGGTATATGGTCATAACTGACATGCATAAATGACATAATGTGGTATATGGTCATAACTGACATGTATAAATGACAATGTGGTATATGGTCATAACTGACATGCATAAATGACATAATGTGGTATATTGTCATGACTGACATGTATAAATGACAATGTGGTATATGGTCATAACTGACATGTATAAATGACATGATGTGGTATATTGTCATGACTGACATGTATAAATGACAATGTGGTATATGGTCATAACTGACATGCATAAATGACATAATGTGGTATATTGTCATGACTGACATGCACAAATGACAATGTGGTATATGGTCATAACTGACATGTAAAAGTGACATATTGTGTTATATGGTCATAACTGACATGTATAAATGACATGATGTGGTATATTGTCATGACTGACATGCACAAATGACAATGTGGTATATGGTCATAACTGACATGTAAAAGTGACATAATGTGGTATATTGTCATAACTGACATGTATAAATGACAATGTGGTATATGGTCATAACTGACATGCATAAATGACATAATGTGGTATATTGTCATGACTGACATGCATAAATGACATAATGTGGTATATGGTCATAACTGACATGCATAAATGACATAATGTGGTATATTGTCATGACTGACATGCATAAATGACATAATGTGGTATATTGTCATAACTGACATGTATAAATGACAATGTGGTATATGGTCATAACTGACATGCATAAATGACATAATGTGGTATATTGTCATGACTGACATGCATAAATGACATAATGTGGTATATTGTCATGACTGACATGCATAAATGACAATGTGGTATATGGTCATAACTGACATGTATAAATGACATGATGTGGTATATTGTCATAACTGACATGTAAAAGTGACATAATGTGGTATATTGTCATAACTGACATGTATAAATGACATAATGTGGTATATGGTCATGACTGACATGCATAAATTACATAATGTGGTATATGGTCAAAACTGACATGTATAAATGACAATGTGGTATATG